TTAGCAAATTTTTTTCCGTAGCATTACCACCCTCTTGTATTCTATACTCTTTGCTTACATACTTTGTGTATTATTTTGCTTACATACTTTGTGTATTATTTTTCTTCTCACACTAGAGTTTAAGTGTCACAAGGGTAAATACTACTACAGTGCCTAAAATAGTGTGTAGTACAAAAAAAGATATCAATATTTATTTAATGATGGAGAAAATAAATTCAGAAATGAGATGTAACTAAGACTATAAGCCCTGAATCCAGGTTGCCTGGGTTTGAACTAGCACTGCTGGTTCCTGGCTGTATGACCTTGAGAAAATCACTACCCTCTCCATGCCAAATAAAATGAGTGTCTGCTTCATATGCTGCAATGATTAAATGAGTTAACACCAAAAGCATTTAGAATAATGGCTGGTATGGTCAAGTGATCAATAAATATTAGTTATTGTTGGTATTCAGCAATCTATGGATAACTTTTCTTTTTCAGATACTGTTGAAGATCCTGTGTGCTGTCAGAGGGAACTTAAAACTATAATCCTAACCCTTAAAAATTTATGGTTGAATTTGTATGCAGTTCCCCTTTCCCAGCAAATCCTTTTGCACTTGACCTTTTGAACTTCAATTTATTCTCTAAGAACCAGCTCAAAGCAGACCTTCTTGGTGAGGTCACCCCATTCTCACAGGTGAAATAAGCTGTCTTTGTACAGAATGCAAAGCACTCATTTATTTTGTTGTTTTTCTGCAAACATTTATTGAATGTTTATTGAATCATGGGCCAGAGGAGGCCATAGGGATAGAGAAGACTTAAGACATTGACTGTGACTTTCAGGGGTGTGTAGTCTTGTAGCAGATGCAGACAGACATAGAAACAAGGGCAAAAGGGTGGCATGTGCTTCACCAGTAGGTAGAGTGCTAATGTATTTATTAACCTGCCCATCGTCTATATTGTGAGCCCCTGTGATCAGATTTCCCACATTTAATTCATTCCATAAAAAATTCTTCTTACAGTGCTTGAAGATATGGGCAAATATGTTTATTAAATGACTGAAATAATAGAGAATAATGAGAAATGCTTAAAAAGAGATGAGTAAAAGTGATGATGAAGAAGATAATATTATTAACAGCTAGTACTTATTGAAAGTTACTACTATAGTTTGGATCCTAAATACCTCCCAAAGGCCCATATGTTAAAGTCTTGGTCCCCAGCATGGCACTGCTGGAAAGTTTGTGGAACCTTTGAAAGGTGAGCCCTAGTAGGATGTCTTCTGGTCACTCACTGAGGGTGTGTCCTTGGAGTGGGTAGCAGGGATCCAGCCTCTTCCTCTTCTTTGCTCTTCTATGTCCCAGCCTTGAGATGACTGGCTTGCTCTGCCATACACTTCTGCCATGATGTGCTCAATAGCAAGGGGCCTATCTGATGGTGGACTGACCCTCCAAAACTGTGAGCCAAAATAAAATTTTTCTCTTTATAAATTCATTATCTCAGGTATTTGTCATAGGAGCAGAAAGCTGACCAACACATTCATTATGGGACAATCATCTTTCTAAGTGCTTAATTTAAACTATATTGCAACAAAAGTGTCTAAATTTTATGCCTGAAGAAACAGGCTCAAAGAAGCTAAACAAATTGTCCTGGGACAGAGCCATGATTTCAACCCAGGACTGTTTGCTTCCAAAGACTATTTTTGCCTACAACTGTATATATCAGAAAGATGCTGGTTGGTATCATTCTGGAAACATTTTGTGGTCAACTGCATGTGTCTGTGTATTTGGTATTTCTTCTCCTGCTATTTTTCTTGCTCTAAACTCTTCAGACACGATTACAGAACTAAAAGTTGTAGACCAATGGCTCCAGGGAGTCGTGTTTCAATTAGCAAATTTGAAGCCAGTGTGGTCAGCTTTCGAGATTCTGACATACCTACTCTCTCCTTTTTCTTTTTTGCAGTGTAGTTTAAAATGTGCTGATAGAGAATTGGACTGCTGACGGTTGCACCAACCTACCCATCAAAAAGAAGGAGGCAGTGGGGAACAGTTAGGAAGAACATAAAGATATTCCTTTCCATTTTTTAAAAGCCTTTACTGGCAGTGAGAGAGTGAGAAAGATAGGAGATGGTCCAAGGGGGCCTTGTGTTTCATGACTTTAAAGGTACTTAGTGTGGGGCAAGAAGTTATTTTTCTTTTTTGGCTCCTCTAAATAAGGATAGACAAATCATCTTAGAAGACAAAGGAAGTTTCTGTTTCAGCATCAGACTCAATGTAAGCCTTGGAAATTGTTATATATTCTGATGTTTCAGTGGATGTCTATTTAGTCAGAACTTTTTGGGTGATACGTAAAATCAGGTAAGTTTCAGTGTTCACAACTCTAGGGACTATCTTCTGTTTTCCCTGTTTAATGAGCTAATCTAGGTGAAAACCTGAATTTATTTTAATAGAATTTTTTTCCAAGAATACACTTTGATTTTAAGATGCGAATATATTTTATTAGGATGGCTATCTGTTTGAAAAATTCAGTATAAACAGGACAAAATAAGCATATTTAAAGATTTTTAAGAAAAATAAGCTAGTCTGTTAAATTAGTCAGGATAGGGATGGAAGGATGTGATATTTTAAGCAACCTCAAAAATCAATTCACTTTGCGACAAATGTATGTCAGCTTAGTAGGGTAACTTACTTCTTCAGCTCTGACATGGGCATGAAAAGATCAATCAACATAAACCACATGCCAAAAGTCAGTTTCAAAATTGTGTACTTATTATGATTTGTCCCAAGAAGAACTGCATGTGTGTATACAGAACTCTTGTAAAAGGACAAATTTGATTCTACTAAATGAAATGGTGAAGACCTTTATGAGTAAAATTAGAGTTATATGAGGGAGAAGATAGATAAAGTCATTCCATTATAATCTGACTACTAGCACATCAGGATTGCCATTAATTCAGAATTAATATTATTGTACTGATGCTCTACCTTTTTATAGCAAATTCTTTGATTTTCTGTATTCTACATTAAGTAATTTATATGTTGTCTATTTTCAGAGATGGTTACACTTCATCCTATTTTTATATTTTTGGACACAATAGTAATTATGCTGTTAAATAATGGGTATAAAAATCAAGTTATATAACTTTATGCCAAAGCTAGTTTATAACATAGTTTAAGGAGTTCTGAGTCCAGTTTTGAGTTTTCTTTGACCCTTTCTCTCAGAACTCAATTGATAATATTACCGTACTATTTTCTATTGAGTTTGTCATTTCGGCAGCACCATTATTTTAATTGTTAATCATTAGACTAAAACATAAGCTGCATAATAATAGGAAGGGAACATGATTTTTTTTTTCTTAACACATGCTGGCAATTGATCCCATGCTAGGCAAGTGTTCTACCACTGAGCTATATCCTCAGCCCCACATACTTCTTTGTAAATGTAGGAGTCGAATAGGCATTTGGTAATATTTACTAGATGAATAAATGAGAGCGTAAGTAGGTATCTTAATGTTGATAATCATAATAATTATACCAATAAACATTTATTGTGCTATATCTTAGGTACACATTTTGTTTTTTAAAGTTTGGACGCATTATTTAATTCTCATTAAGACATAAGACTGGATAATATAGGCACCGTGTCTAAATTCAAGTAAGAAGCAAGTGATAACTACAAACCCATCTTGTTCTTTCCTGGGTCTTCCTTAAGCTTCTTCCTTCCCCTAGTTCTGCAGTATTTTTTCATTTAATTTTGTTCAGCCTTAAACAAGGAGCATGCCCTGCAGACTGGACAGTGTTAGTAGAGAGATGCAGTGGGTTGTTCTTGGCTATTTCCAACACATGTGTGTGGCATCTGATCCCTCTAGATATGGAGCTATTCAGTGGATTGGATTGATGGACTCTGAGGCACCCTTCGTTTCTGACAAACACTCACTAGTGTGCCTCAGCTCTACAAATGTCCTCTCCTCTTCCTGCGGTTTGTTAGTGTACTGAACTGACACCTTACATGCAATGTGATGTAGAATTTGCCCTTTCCTGGCCCCTCATCAGAATTTTCATCAGAATCAAGGGGGAAAGCTTGATTGGAGCTGCAAGGCAAATACATTTTAAATTGGAAATTTGATTCTGCATTTTTAATTGCATGAACAACAATGTGCTAGAGTGATTTAGAAAGGTTCATAACTTGGTCCACTCGACACACTTGTTTACTGAATAATTTAAAATCTAATTTTACATATGAAAATTTAGAAGTTAGATTTAAATTCATAGCCTTTCTCTGTCTCTGTCTCTGCCCTTTTCTCTTTGAACCAAATGAAACCAAACCAACTCTACAAAATGATCACGTTAGTATTTTGAATCTAAGGAAGTAACTTGTTTATTTACTTTATTTTGGGTGAATATGTTTATGGGTACTAGATTTTTAAAAAATATTTTTTTAGTTGTAGTTGCACACAATACCTTTACTTATTTTTACGTGGTGCTGAGGATTGAACCCAGTGCCTCATACATGTGAGGCGGGTACTCTACCACTGAGCTACAGCCCCAGCCCTGAGGGGGTGCCAATGAGTTTGAATGTGTACTTTTATGCATATTTTTGTTCTTGGTGGCTAGAGCTGTAGATATCAAATGTGGAGTGGACTGCTTAGGGTTCCATGACTTGGGCCACTGTTTTGATGTCTTGTATTTGTGTCTCAGTACACCAGCCAAATGTTCCTCTCAAAACAGTGTCCTATTTGCTCTTAAATATATTTTATTACTGAGACATTTATATTAAGAACACCATATCAAATCCCTTTTTTGCTTTTTTGCTTTTTCATTTTTCCTGTGGATGAGGACACCTGGATGGCTCATCTTATGAAGAACAGTCCTCACCAGACAAAAAATTTGTATGCAGCTTAATCTTGGGGTTCCCAGACTTTAGGGATATGAAAATTTTTTTCTTAAATTTTTTTTTTCTTAAAAAGAATCATCAACATACACTAGAAAGCTATGCACTTCGATGTACTATAAAGTAACGAATGGTAAAGTTTTTAGTCTGTTTTATTAGTCATAGAGGATAATAACTCTCTAATACACATGAAAGGACAAATTAATATGATTAGCCCCATAACTTTCCTAATTCTAGAAGTAGAAAACACTTAATTTTAGTCAGAAATTTTGACACGAATTTCCTTCCAGTTTAGATGCAACTGTCTAACTTCCTTCTGGATGACCTAGAAAGAATGAAAAATAGTTGGCTAATGCACCGATTCCATAAATTAAGAAGCAAAAGCAGTTGGGTAAATATCAATGACTCAGAATCCCCCTCCCTCTTTAAAAAATCTTTTACACTAACAACTAAAAAAAAAAAATCAGGTTTTTGTACCTTAAACAGGCTTCTTGAAATAGATTTGAAAACAAGAGCCTGTGGCTGGAGGGAGCCCGTTTTACCAGTGCTGTTACCACAGTCTCGGCTTACCAGGAATGCTGGAGGGATGACGAACATGATTGACAGAGCCAGGCTTAACTTGGTGTGAAGGCGGAGGGCTCCAGGCCGATGAAACACCTCTGGAAATGTGCCCAAAGGAAACTCAGAACCGCATGGGTACGCTTTCATGCCAAAGACTTTCTGGAATGGGTCCAAAAACATCTTCTGTAAGAGGAAATGAAAGAGGAAATAACTTGTTATTCCAAAGGGGTGAGAGGGTTGGGGGTGAGAGTTGAAAGAAGGGTTGAAAAGAGAGAAAAAGAACTGAGCTGTGAAGGTGAGGATATGCCAAGGAGGGGAAGTGAGCAGTTGGAGTTAGAAATGTGAATAGGCTCCCAAAGATAAGGAGGAAGTGGGACTGTTTGGAAGGTAAACACACCATAATGGAAAGGGCAGCCTTGCCAAGAAAAACAACATCAACATAATTAAAGGAAAAGGCTAACATAAATGTGAGGAAAAAGAGAAAATGCTGAACAGGTCTTAAATATAAGAACATTCCAACTCAGCATTTCATCATGGACAACATAAACAGGAAAAGGAAGAAAGGCATTCTGCAGCTCTGCACACCCATATTCCACCCTGTGGTATCTGAGTGATCAGTCAGTTTTCTGTTGACTCAGGTATAGTGGATGTACAGGGTGGGGTTAGAATTATAACCCCAATTGTTTATCTCTCTGGGTCTGGTATGCTTTGTATATTTGTCAGAAGGCCACGACACCAGGACACTTTATTTCCTGAATTGTGTTATTTTGCAGCACTAATGTCAGTAATTTAGCAAGCTATAAAACCAAGTAATGTACCTCTTTTATATATAAGATTTCCTTGAGCTCTTTTCATACTGATGGAGTGTTAGAGAAACAAAGTTAAAAGATGACCAAGCTTATTGCTAAGTATTACAGAAACCACACACAGCAGCACCCCATTCTGTTCTCTAAGCAGTTCATGTCAAACTCTGATGCGCTCTCTTTTATTTCTTCAGAATTCTACACCTTCTTCCTAGAATAAAATTGCTCATAAGACTGGAATCTTCCCCAGGGAAAAGGGAGTTATAAATACCATAGACAAATAAAAATAATGTCTACTTTTTAGTACATGTCTTTTACTTAATCTTCTAAATTAGTAAATGAAAGCAATGTTGGGGTCTCTTCTCTAAATTATCACCAAATTATGTTTATATATAACTTTATTTATTATAAAAGAAAGTCAGAAAATGTATTTTCCTATGTAATGAAATTTACCAATCTAATTTTTCTTTAATGTTTTTCCTTAATAAAACCCTACTGAAGGTTGAGTTGTGTATATCTTGATTTTTAATTGTAGGTATATATCACTCCAAAAAAGTGCATCAATATATAAAGTCTTAGAAAGGGTATGTGACTAACCAAACCCTTGATTGCTTTATTTCCTCTTTTTGATAAGTCTAATTTCATTTTGCCTTTTAAAAATATTTTCATTAGTCATTTGCTGGAACAGAGCTTTGTTTTCATGGCAGTTTATAAAATCATAAAAGCTTGACATATTTCTCTTTTGCTAGAGCAATTGGTGACAAATAAAATAAAAGAGAAACTTTAACCTTGGCTCTTTCTCCACTATAGAAGCCTGAGTATTTATCATTATTATCTATGTGTTCTCAAAATGTAAAGAACCAAGAAAAATTACCTTTGAATGGACAATGGCTTTTTAAGGCAAGGGGTCTATTTGGCTCTTAGGGAAGCAGGTGCCCTGGAGCCCTGGAGTCACACCCTACCTGGGTGACAGGAGTGAGCCAAGTGAGAAGGGAGAAAATGAAAGGCTGCCTTCAAGGGAGACTGGGGACATGAGCATAAGATTAAAAAAAGGAGAGCAAGATCCCTGAGGAGACTTGAAGTTGAGGAACAGGCTATTTGGAACCAACAGAAAAAAAGGATACTGAAGAAAACCTGAACTCCAGTTTAAAACAAGCAGAGAAAAGACAGCTGCATTTGTCTGTTGAAGTGTCCAGAGCACATAGTCTAGATGAAACTTAACTTTTAAACTAGAGTTGAAAAGTCCCATGACAGACTTTCAATGGGGGACTGGGGTTGCAGCTCAGTGGTAGAGTGTTTCCCTAGCAGGTGTGAAGCACTGGGTTCAATTCTCAATACCACATAAAGTAAATAAAATAATGGTATTTTTCCATTTTACTACAACTAAAAATAATAAAAAATAAAGTAAAAGAAAAATAAAGACTTTTAGTGGAATTGTTGTTGGTTTTTGGAACTGAGAATGCAATTCTCAACCATTAGTCTAGACTGATAATACTTGAATAGACTTGCCTTATATTGGTATCCACTGGAAAGAGATGTTTATAATTTCTTTTTTTTAATGAAGAACATAGGTTAGGGGTTATTTATTTGAAGAGAATATTTATGCCCTTCATTTATATTTCTCTTTATATATAATGCTTCAAATAATTTAAAACTTTTCAACACACTTCAAAAATATAATCCCCTCCCCCTCAAAAATGGAAAAAAATATAACCCAGTTGTCAATCATTTGTAGTACTAGAACAGATTGAGTCTGAAACAATTAAAATACAAAAATATCTGAAGCCTCTGATCTAGAACGATCCTGAAAAACTGAATCTCCCAAACCATCACCATAACTTTTGCTAGAAGGGGAAATGGAAACTAAAGCAAGGTAAAGCAACAGTTGGACAGCAAACCCCATAATATACCCATGGGAAGTTGAACTTTGAATTGAACATTCTTAACTACACACTCCCTTCCTTGAGAAAAGGTTGCTTTCAAGCTCACTTAAGGCAGGGGTCCTGACTCATTCATATTTGTACTTCAACCTCAAATTTTAGCATCTAACATATTTTCTTGCACAAAGTAAAAGCTCAATATTTATTTGATACATCAAGTTGAAAATAGGATTTAGTCATTTCTTATGAGTTAAATCTCCCTACTCCTTTTAAATATTTGATTATAGAGAATTATTATAAAATTGTGCTTAATATGAACTCTTCCTCTAAAAGTCTCTGGGATACTGGAGAGAGGATACATTACATTGGAATTGTATCTTTCTTCCAAGTAAGATCAGGGACAAATAGGGAGGCATTTATCTGGGGACATGAACCATACTTTATGACAACTCAGAAAATACCATTGGCTTACTGCCAGGAGTAAAGGTAGACTGTAAAAAACACAGATAGCCAGACTGCTGTGTTCTAGACTCATCTTTAAGCCATCCAGAAATTCTCCCAGAAGTACATTTTTTCCCTCTGTTCCCTAGGGACTGACTGTCTCATAAAGTTAAAATTCACCCCCACCGCTTTCTGGGAACAGATTTTTTTTTCTTTTTTTTTTGGTGTCATGAGTTTACTGTTCACCAAAATGTCACAAGAAAAAAAGTATTCATAAAACCATTTCTTCCTTTGGCTACAGAGTGTGATGGGCTGCCAGGATACATGAGGGGAAGTTTGTGGGAACAGCAATTATCTAATAACAGCATTTTAAATACATCCTTATTTTATGGTTTGTGTTCAGAACCCACTTCCTTACACTGCAGGTTTTATTAGTACTTAAAACTAAGCTTGAATTTCCCTGCTTCTTTGGTAAATAAAAAAGTGGAGTCTTAATGTAGTATGCTTAACTTTTTATCCTATGTAAAATTTGAAGTGATTATTTGAACAGCATTTCATTAAAACTATGTAAAACTGTCCTTCCTAGAAGATGTGAATTTCTTCTTTGAATCTCATTCGGAGAAAGATGGACTATTTTCTAATTCAGAATAAGAGAGGCTGCCCTGTGTTGGAGTAAATCATTGGCAAGTCCTTTCAGAAGACCATTTTTTGGTGGTCCATAAATTAAAGAGAAACAAGAGCCGGATTTCTTTCTCCTCTATTCCAGGAGGAAGCTTGGTAACTTACCTTCCAAATATTAGACAGAAGAAAAACTATTGTGTTAGTTTCCCATTGTTTCTGTAACTAATTATCACAAATAGATTGACTAAAAACAACACAGATTTATTCTCTTATGATTCTGGAGGTCACAAGTCTGAAATCAGTTTCATTGGACTAAAGTCAGGTTGTTAGGAAGATCAGGCTCACTTGGGATGCTCTGGGGGCAAATCAGTTTCCTTATCTTTTGTAGTTTTTATTCCAGTACTGGGGATTGAACTCGGGGCACTTGACCACTGAGTCATATCCCCACCTCTATTTTGTATTTTATTTAGAAACAGGGGCTCACTGAATCGTTTAGTGCCTTGCCTTTGCTGAGGCTAGCTTTGAACTCTCGATCCTCCTGCCTCAGCCTTCCAAGCTGCTGGGTCCTTATTATTTATTTATTTCCTTATCTTTTACAGCCTCTGGAGCTGCATTCTTTGGGTCATGGTCCCTTCCTTCATCTTTAAAACCAGATTTATAGCATTTCTTTTCTCTATTCTGCTTTTCTCTACTCTTCTCTGCTTGGTCACCTGGCCTTCTTTTATTCTGTGACCTGAATCTCCCTTTGCCTTCCCCTTATACTGGGATACCTGTGATCACACTTTGGGCACACCTGCACAATCCAGGATAATCTCCTCATCTTGAGGTTCTTAATTTAATAACATCTGCAAAGTCCCTTTTTCGTCTCTTGAGGTAACATTTGTAGATTCCAGAGATTAGAATATGAATATATTTGTGACTCCTGTTCAGCCCACGTAACACTCTTTCAGCCTTTTCTCAGAATGGCAGGGTATGTAGAAACCTCTCACTATTTTTTACTTTTGTGAAAATTTACAATATTAAAAATAATTATTTTAATGGAGTGTTATGGTTTGGATACTAGGTATCCCTCCAAAACTCATGGGTGAGATAAGAAGGTTTAGAGATTAAATGATTGGGTTGTGAGAGCCTTAACACAATTAGTGAATTAATCCCCTGATAGGGATTAACTGAATGGTAGCTGTAGGCTGGAAGGGTGTGGCTAGAGGAGGTAGTTCCCCGGGAACTTGATTTTAGGGCTTATATTTGTCTTTATTAAGCAGAGCTCTTTCTCTGCCTTCTGACCATCATGTCTTGAGCCACTTTCTTCCATCACACTCTTCCGCCAGGATGTTCCCACATAGAGCCCTGAGGAGTCCAGCTGTCTGTCTGTCTATGGACTGAGAGCTCTGAGACCATGAGCCCCCAAATAAACTTTTTATCCTACAATTGTTTTTGTCAGGTCTTTTGGTAGCAGCAATGAAAAAGCTGACTAAAACATGGAGGAAATTAAAAAAAAAAAAAACATTGTTGCTTATTCTGCAAGAATTTAGAAAGCAAAGGTTTTTTTTTTTTTTTTTTTTTTTTACAGTTATCAGTAGATTACCTTAAAATAAACATC